AGCAGGAAAAGAGACAATGCGTGCACATTGTGCAATATTTGGGGAGCATGTCTGGTGTGTTCTACACAGAGCAAGGAGGTCAGTGTGGCTAGAGTGAAGGGAGAAGAGGAGCAATCGGAGATTAGGTCAGAGAGGATCAGGGAAGACCTTTCTGGGCTTTGTAGGAGGCCGTAAGGACTCTGACTTGTTTTCAGAGAGCCCTTGGATGATTTGTGGTGAGGTATGACATAATGTGACCGACTGCTCGGTTAACTGTAGACCATAAGGGGCATGAGTATTGGAGGCGTTCACGATAATCTAGGTGAGAGATAATGGTGGTTCCAGTTAGGGTGGTAGAAGGAGTTGAAAAAGCAGTGTCTGAATATATTTGAAAGTAGAGATGATAGGATTAGATGATGGACCAGATGAAGAATATGAGAAAGAAAGAAAACAAGGATGACTCCAAGGTTTGGGGCCAGAAAACTGAAAAGAAAGGTTTGTCATCACCTGAGGCAGGAAAATATGTGGGTGGAGCAGGTTTGAGGAGAAGATGAAGAGTTGATTTAAGGTGTGTTGTTTGAGATGTCAATTAGACATCCTAACAAAGCTGTCAGGTAGGCAGGGGGAAGTACAAGGTGGGGATTCATTAATTAAATTCAGAAAGTAGTTATTGTTGGCCTACTATGTGCACAGTCAGGAGTAGGACATTCCAAAAACTCTTTATTTCTCATTTGTAAGTCCAGTCCCTTGTTACACAGGTAGGAGGACAATCTTTTTGTGGGAAGGTTTCTAGAATAGATGTGACTGAGTCACCAATGGCCACCATCATGGGACAGAGTGCTTTGTCCATCATTTGCACACACATACTTTCACTTAATCCTCCCCCAAACTGTGGAGGATCAATGCCATTATTACCCTCAGCTCTGGTAAAGAAACCAGAAGGCACAGAGTGGGAGAGCTGAGCCCAAGCTACGAAACTCATAAATGGCAGAGCAGGCTTCATCTACTACTTTCTCTTTTTCGTGGCACTGCCTCTTGAGCATCGAGAAAAGATGGCCCACTGAGCAAGTGCCAGGACCCCCAGTCTCCCAGCTGGGCTGCCCCTTGGAAGGCTGTTACATCTCTAAGTCACCAGGGGCTGTTCTAGCTCCAAAGACTTTGGTAAACACAGCAACCATTAGTGGATCATGGTTTGTTACGAAATGTAGAGGCTTCCATGTTTTTCTTTCTTTCCCAAATAAACAGTAGGGATGCTAATGAGCCCCCAAAAGGGGAAGTGAAAATCCCTTTTCCCTGGGATCTTCCACAGCTTTGTGGTGAGGACGAGGACCTTACCATGTGTTCAGAAAGCAGGCTGCGTGTTCTGACCTTTTCCCCAGAGCTGTGTTTACTTTCAGAGAACTCAGGAAGGGCCTACAGACACTGCTTGGCTCAGGGTACTTGGCAGACGCTGAAGAACTCCACAGATATTTGGCAGGATGATTCTGAATGCTCTGAGAACCACAGCTTCAAAGAAAACGTGAGTCTGCTTGGCTCTGTGATAACATGCCTCAGGGCCCAAACTACCCCCGTCTCAGGTCCCCTACCTGGCTGATTGGCTTTAGGGAACACACAAAGAGCCTTTACCCCCAGCTTGTCTGCCCCAGACTCACTGAGGGAAGGTCCTCAGTCACGCAAAGTAGCACTCCCCGTGGCAGCCACTGAATTTTTTCTACTGTTAGGGTGAAATGTGAACCCCTAAGGAAAGTCAGCCTTTTGGCCTTGGTCCTTGCCTTTTCCCATGCTGTTCCCTCTGCCTGGTATACCTCTCCCTCTTCTTCTGTGGCTTCTCCTTCTTACCATTAATGTTTTAATGTTTCCATTTAATGTCATCTGCAAAGTGAAGTCTTCCGGGGCCACCTCATCAAGAATGGCTTTCTTGGTCACTTTTTATCGCTCCTCCTTCTACCCGATATAGTCCTTTTACAGCATCTGTCACTCTCTGACACGTTCCTGTGTTTGCTTATTTGTTATCTAGCCCCCTCATTAGAATGTAGACTCAATGGTAGCAGGAGACATGTGTACCTGAGGGAACACACATTGAGCACAGGGGTTCCATGGTGAAGGTTAAAGGCCAGACAGCCCAACTTCCTATCCAGATTCTTTGCTTCCTAGCTTTTCATACCCTGACCCTTCACCTCTCTGTGACCCTGCTTCTCATCCATCCCATGGGAATTGTATTTATTTCATGTTCTCGCTGTGATGATTTAAAGTTAATAGACACACAATTCTTCAGAGAGAGCCTGACCTCTAGTAAGCATGCCATATATAGGCGTGTCTGCTCTGTCACCAGGATCCAGCACAGTAATGAGGCAATAAATCATCATAGCTGCTCAGCAAATGTTTGTTGAGCAAACAAACAAATCTACACTTCAGATTCCTCTCCATGCTTTTTCTTTCTCAGATCCTATTTTGCAGGCCCCTCAGGCATGGCTCCTCTCCGCGAAGATCTCCTATTTGTACAAATCCCAGCTACTTGCCTTCAAAGTGTAGTGCAAAAGTGGCATGGACAGAGGAAAATGTGTTTGGAAATCAGAGGGATATCTAGGGCCGCATCTTGATGTCTTTCATTCAGACAGTCAGACGTGAAGTGCTTACTGTGTGCTAGATTTTTGCACTAGCCACTGGAGATAAACAGTGAATAAGACATAGACACTGCCTTCAAGGAATTTGTGTCTCAGTGGGCATAGAGACAAAGTGGAGGCCTTGAGAGATGCCACCTTAGAGAGTAAGGACTTTGCACAGTTGAGTAGGGACATAACTCCGAGAAGGTTTTGAAAGGATTGCTTTCGAAGGTCAGGAATAGGGCCAGGCTGGAGGCAGAGGCAGGAAGAACAGGCAGGAGCCACTGCAGTAACTTAGCCCAGATATGGAGTGAACGCCAGTAAGAGAGGCTGGATTTACAGGTTACGAGTAGAGAAACAGTATGATCACATACTGGAAGTAGGGTGAGATGGTAAAGTCAAGGGCCACAAAAATCTCAGGTTGGTGTGGGCCCATGATTTTTGGAGTGCCTCTCACTGAAATAGTGGATGCAGGAAGAGTCCTTGCCTTTTTGTCTCTCCTGGGTTCTAGACATTTCACTACTAAATTCTTTGCCCTAATTTGAGACTGCAAACCACACGCCGCCCCCTGCCAGAAGTTGTGGTTCACGTCTTTCATAATTTAGTTGGATTTTGAAATTCTTTAGTTTTCTTAAGTCATTTTAATATTTTCCCATCAGACACTAAAGATATTTTAATAAAGTTTGGGGATGGGGAGAGGGAAGGAGTTCAGTTCTAGAAATACTACCTGTGTGACTTAAGCCATATAACTCCTCTCCAAGCATCCACAAAATGGGGTTGATAATGCCAACTTTGCAGAGGCTGATGGTGAGGCTTGGTAGGGCAATCAATGTGAAATGATTCATTCACGTCCTGGCACCCGCTAACCACTCGACAGTTATGATGATCACATTTTATCTCCTCAGAATGTCTTCCCCGATCCCCAACAAACACAGTTCTCTCCCTCCTTGGGCCTCCCTCTGGACTACTCCTAGTGCAATGATCACAGTCCACTTGTCAATATATTTTTTTTATGTCTGAGTCTGGCTTTTCTAAAGTGGCTTTTTGGGGTTTATTTTTTAAAATATGTAATATTTAATTTGACTTTCAAAAATAAAAAATTGGTTTTCTATTTAAGAGATATATACACATACATACATAAAAATGCTAATACTATCAAAGAAGCCTTCAATTAATTTTTGGTGCCACTCACAAACTAGTTATTTCAATGCCCTTTTACAGTTCAAGCTGCATTAATACATTTAAGATATTAGATGCTTTAAATCTTAAATACTTGTTAGAATAAGCAAATCTTTAATTCTTAAATAATTCTAGTTCATTGAATGTATCAAGCTTACCTGGCAAGTCCTAAATTTTCTTAAGTAAGTCAATACTGTTTTCATTAAGGTTTTATTTTAAACTTAAAGTCAAGTACTTATTGATATGTTTCATATCGGAGTCACAATATTCATTCTAATTCTCTAATATTCTTTATCCTCTAAGTAGTAATAGCAATTACATACAAATTGTGCAAATAATTTTAAAAGCCTCTATATGAAGGATGAATACAAGGACAGATATAGGATGACACCAAGTAAGGTGCTGATAGTAGAATCTAGATTGTGGTTATGCAGATAATCTGTAAAGTTTCTTTAACTTTGCTGTTTGTTTGACCACCCTGGTTGTGCTTCGCTTCCTTCAGAGCCTAGTGGGAGCTGGCATGCCCTTGGCTTTCTTACGTTTGTTATACCTTTTCATCAGGCATGAAGAGTCTTCCACTGGATCCTCTGCATCCTCAGAGAATTCTTTCAAACCTCCTTTTAACTTTATTACTTGATTTGAGTTAACAGAATGCTATGTTCCTTATACAGTTTTACGATGTAACAGGTCATACCTCTTAGAGGTATTAAAATGATACCTGTAGCTGAATTGGATTCAGCTTATCTCTAAAATTTGTCTGACTTTCGTCAGGACACCAGACCCATGCTAATTGCATGGCTTGAATTAGGCAAACTGTTTGTATTTCTTATCTTTCTTCCTGGACTAAGCTGCTTGAGAACAATGACAAAATCGTAGTTATATCTGAATACCCGCCACCCCCTAGCCCAGTGCTGGGATGCACAAAAGCCTTTGCATACAGTGGGCATTTAATAAATACTGAGTGAGTGGTTTCACAGATTCTGAGTCAATGGGCCTGTGATGGCGCATAGGCATCAATACCGGCGCTGAAGTTCTCCAGGTGATTCTAATGTGCCTGCTCCTGGGAACTGAGGCCTTAAGGAGGGATTCACCATCAGGTGTGAGATGCCTACTGCTTCCTCTGAGCTTCTGTCTGCAGTGGCCCAAGTCAGGGACAGCAAAACAAGGTATGAAAACTGCACTTTCCAAGACAGGAAGTAAAGATTTCTTTCTCTAGAAAAGTGAAGACAAGGACATTGCCTTCTGCAAATGGCCATATTTCCAAGAATTCAAATACTTAAAAGAAACCCCACATCTTCTGGCCATGTTTACCTGTATTTCTAATAGAGGGTTGAACTTTTGCCCAAAAAAAGGCTAGTGTTAGTAAATCTTTGCCCTCAGAGTTTTGGCAAACTAAATATGTTATGTTCTTCCAACTGACAACATGTTGGGAGTCTTTAAGCATGCTAAAAATGGTGCTTTTTAAGGAGATTATATATGTGTGTGTATGTGTGTGTGCACATGCATAACCATCAACAAGTATGTTTAGATTTGTTGGTATAGAATTGTGTTTAGTAGTGTTTAAATAAATGATCTTGCCTTACTTCAAGCTATTTTCTTTACCCTTAGAAAGTACTTTCTATTCTCAGTATGGAGTTTAAATTATATAATATGCATATAATTTTCATATATAATTTCAATAAAAAATTTAATTTTCAATGTAATATATATTGAGATATATGGTATTTTCCAACATATTATTTTGAAATAGCCAAACACAGAAAAATTAAAAGAATAATAAAATAAACACTCATAGATCCACTATCTAAATTCAAAATATATTAAAGTTTTGGCACATTTACTTTCTCTCTGTCTCTTTCTGAAATATTTGAAAATAATTTGCAGATATCATGAGATTTCACCTATAAATATTCATCAGGTAGTTCCAAAGATTAAGGACATTTATTCCACATAACTACAATACCATTGTTCCAACTAAATAAAGTTTACAGTGATTTCATCATATCAATGAATGTTTCATCCATATTCAAATTTCCCCAATTATTCCCCCCAATTTTTATAGCTTTTCTTCCCTGGAACAGGATCTAATCCAAGTCCACATATAGCATTTAGTTTCATTTTAGTGTCTTTTAATCCAGAACAGTCCTCCCACTCCTGTGTCTCCCTGCCACCCCGCAACATAGGCTTTCCAAAGAGACCAGAAAAACTTTGCTGTAGAATGTCACACTCTCTGTATTAGTTTGACTGTTTCCTCAGGTTGTCATTAAATGTGCTCCTCCATCTTCTATATTTTTTGTAAGCTGGAAGTTAGGTTTAGAAGCTTTAGAAGATTCAAATTAATCCTCACATGTACTGTGTGTACACTGTACAGAATCACACCAGGAGATCGAACTGTCAGGTGTCACACTATAATGATGTTACATTTGATCACTCGGTCAAGATAGCAACAGTCAGATCTGCCCATGGTAAAGGTACCATTCTCCTTTCGTATTTGGTCAGTAATTGGTGAGGTGATAACTTTGGTATTGCGCATTTATCTTGTTCTCTCACAAACCTAGTGTTTAAATAAATGATCTTGCCTTACTTCAAGCTATTTTCTTTACCCTTAGAAAGTACTTTCTATTCTCAGTATGGAGTTTAAATGATATAATATGCATATAATTTTATTCTCCTTTTGTATTTGGTCAGTAATTGGTGAGGTGATAACTATGGTATTGCGCATTTATCTTGTTCTCTCACAAACCTCCATCAGTGTCTTAATCTTCATTGTTGATACTTGCTTAAATTGATTAAAGTTCTATCATTCCTTCTACATTCTAGCTGGCAGTCTTCTGGAGAGAACTCCTACCTCTTTCCTTCTTTTTTGAGTGTCACTATGGACTTATAGATTGTTTTATTCCCTTATACTTATTATCATTTTTGATGCTCAGCATTTTGCAGATTTAGCTAGTGAAAACTCTTCAAACTGACTCTTGTGTCCTTTTGTTATAATCCCACTAGTTTGTTGGCACGTCTTTATTATCTGGCACAAGAAGATGATCCAAGTTCATCCTGTATTTTTCCTGTTCCAAGCCCAAATCAGCTATTTTTGCAAAGAGTTATGAATTCTTTAAGTGGAAGAATGGTAGTAGAAACCAAGATTTAAGTGCTAAGTGTGCTCATTGCCACTACTACTAGGTGCTAGGACATTTTTGTTTATAGGCTTAAGAAATAAAATATTTTTAAAATCAAGACTTCAAATTGATTATTCTAATTCAAATTTAACATTTAGGATTTTTCCTCATCTTCTTTTGCTTTGTATTATGCATCTTTGCTCTCGCAGTGAAAATTTTGCTTCCAAATAACATTTTTGTATTTATTTATTTAACTTTTCCTACAGTACATGTAAAATAGTTTCAATCTTAAAATGTTAAAATTGCCACTAAAAATATAAACTAACTTGGTAAAGTTTCAGATTTCTTTGCAGCTCTTTATATCCGTAGACTATATGCCATGTTCAGAGTACTGTGTTCATAATTATTTGAAATAATTACTTTCTGTATACAGCTATGTTATTAATTGGATAAACAGTTTTATTCATATTTCTATATGTGCTAAAGGCTTGCTTTTTTATGCCTCTCCTTTAATTTTACTTTTTAATAAATAAAATATTGACAGGCTTTTAAAGCTAAAACTGTGTAAAAAAGTGTACTCAGAGAAATCTCACTCCCATTACTGTGTCTATGGTGTTTCTATCTACTCCCTACAGACAATCATTTTTTTTGTTGTTCGGTTTATCTTTTCTCTCTTTTTTCTTTCTGTTTCTTTACTTTTTATCAAATTATAATAATCCATTGTATATTTCTTTTTGCAAAACTAAGCAAATATATAAATATGTTATTTCCCCATTTTTCTTATACAAAAGGCAGTGTACTAGATACCCCATTCTGCATCTTGCTTTTTTCACTTAACAACATGTCCTGGAAATTACTCTTTATCAGTTACTAGAAACATTCCTCTCTCTTTTTTTTCTTTTACAGCTGCATAGTTCTCCACCCTGTGTATCTGCTATAGTTTATTCAGTCACTCTTCTATGGCCATTTAAATTGTTTCCAATCTTTTATTACTAATGACACTACCTTAAATAACTTTGTATTTGAATGTTGGTTGGTATTCATGGTGGTATATCTTTTGGAAGACTCTTAGAAACGGGATTGCTGTATTAAAGGTAGATGTATGTGTTATTTTGTCAGATATTACCAAATTCCCCTCCATAGGGGTTGTATTATTTTGCCCATCCTTCAGCAATATTTGAGAATGCCTGTTTCCTTGGTGGGTACATATTACACACTGCTTATGAAGCATTTCTTAAAGATGTCTAAGTGACTTTAGATTCACCTGTAGGAACTGAGTGAGCTGGAGACTCTCTGGGTGTTCTGGGGCCTCTAGGAAAGTAGAGGGCAGTTTAAGAAACTTCTAAAGGAGTGCAATTAAACTATCGCAGGTGCTGTGGGTGCCCATCCATATTCCTTTGCCCTAACTTATTTAGCACAAAACTGTCTAGCTTCTTACCAGTAGTACATGCATTTCTTTGCTGGTTCTCTGGTTCTTGGAGCCCACCTTGTCTGTTGGAAGGCAGGCCAAATGTGCCAGAGAATTAATGCCCCCAGGATTAGCCTTCAGAAGGAATGTTGGCCAGCTGATACTTTAATTTCAGCCCAGTGAAACTAATTTTAGACTTCTGATCTCCAGAACTGTAAAACAATAAATCATGTTGTTTTAAGCCACCAAATTTGTGGTAATTTATTACAGCAGCCACAGGAAATTAATATAAAAGGGCATCTTTAAAAAATTGCCACTGACATCTTATTAATTGATGAGTGAGTGCTTTCCCCTAAAATCTTTAACAAAATAATAAGTTCACTCTTCTCCCTTCCATTCAGTATTGTATTGAAGGTCCTACCCAGAACAATAAGGCAAGAAAAAGAAATAAAATAAACAGAGTTTGGAAAAGAACAAGTAAAAATGTTATTTACAGACAACATGATTATCTATAGAAAATCCCAAGGAATCTACATGAAATACTACTGAAACTAATAAGTGAACTTAGCAAGGTTTTAGAATACAGATCAATATATAAAAAATCAATTGCATTTCTATATATTAAACAGTGAGCAATTAAAAATTGAAATTAATAAAATATCATTTACAGCAGCATTAAAAATATGAAACAGATAAATTTAACAAAAGACAAGCAGGACCTATATACTGAAAACTACAAAGCATTGTGCAGATAAATTTTTAAAAACTTAACTAACTGGAGGCATATACTATGTTTATAGACTCCGAATTCATCCATAGTTTCAAGGCAATCTCCATCGAAATCCCAGTAGAATTTTGTAGAAATTGACAACTGATTCTAAAATTTATATGGAAATGCAGAAGATATAGGATAGCCAAAACAACTTTGAAAAAGAGCAAAGGTGAAAGACTAACACTGATTTCAAGAATTACTGTAAAGCTATAGTAATCAAGACAGTACAGTATTGGCATAAAGGTAAATATATAGGATAATCGAACAGAATACAGAGTCCTGAAATAGACCCACACATATAAAGGCAATTGATTTTAGACAAAAGTACCAAGGCAATACAATGGAGCGGGGGTGGGCAGTAGAGAATAATTTTACCAACAAAGGGTGCCAGGACAATTGAATGCAAAAAACTGAACTTCAACCCTTGCCTCACACTATGAATTAAATTAACTAGAAATGAATCATAGACCTAAATGTAAGAGCCCAATCTATTAAACTTCTAGGAAAAACATAGCTAAAAATCTTAGGGCCCCTGGGCTAGGTAAAGATTTTAAAAATAGGACACAAAGAGCATAAAGTGTTAAAGAAACATTTGATAAATTGGATTTTATTTTAAAAAACCTATTCTGAAAACATTTTAAAAAAATTAAAAGGAAAGCCACAGAATGGGAGAAAATGCTGGCAAAACATACATTTCATGAGATTTCTATCTAGAATACATGAAGAACATTTACAATTTAAGACAAACAACCCAATTTACTAGATGACCAAATATTTGAACAGATATTTTACCAAATAAGATATACAGATGGCAAATAAGTACATGAAATGATTCTCAACATCATTAATCATTATAGAAGTGCAAATTAAAACAATAAGATATTACTAAACACCCAATAGAATAGCTAAAATTTAAAAGACTGTATGAAGTAGAGTCTAGAACAGCTAGAATTCTCATACACTGCTGGTGGAAACGTAAATTGATATAATTTATTTAGAAAATATTTTGGCAGTTTCTTAAGAAATAAAACATGTATCACACTATCCCGCCATTCTATTTGTAGAGAGTTATCTGAGAGAAATAAAAGCCTATGTCCACATAAAAACTCATACAAAAAATTTCATAGTAACTTTATTTGTGAAAGCCAAACTCTGAAAACAATACAAATGTCTATCAATAGGTGACTGGATAAAGAAATTGTGGTATATTCACAATGGAATACTACTCAACAATAAAAAAGGAATGGCCTATTGATACATACTATGACATAGATGAATGTCAAAATAATTATTCTGAGGAAAATAAGCCTGACAAAAAAAGAGTATATCAAAATATTTCATTTACATAAAATTTTATAAAATGCAAACTAATCTCCAATGACAGAAAGCAGAACAGTATTTGTCTGGGAATAGGATGGCAGGGGTAGTGAGAGGAAATGTATTACAAAGGGTCACGAAGAAACTTTTAGGAAGTGATGGAAATGTTCATTATCTTGAATGCAATAGTGAAATCACAGATAAAATCATGTCCAGATTCATTAAGGCTTATACTTAAAAAATGTGTAGTTTACTGTACAACAATTTTACTTCAACAAAGCTGATAAACAAGTTATGTGGAGAAGTTTAAGACAAAATTTAGCAGATAATAAGTTTCTACTCTGGGTTTTTCTACAAAAATTTACTTAGAAACATAATCTTGATGGGGGCACACATGAGGGATTGAGCGAGAAGGGGATATTCTATTGGAAAATCACACTTAATAAAACAGAATTTCCAGTAAATTACCCTCTGTTCATAATCAGGCTATCCTGGAACTCAGAAAATATTCCAATGTTTTATTAGGGCTTTGTCTAAGAGGTCATCTATGAAATGTTATTTTAGAAAGGAGACATCTGGTTGGAAACCTGGCCCCATCTTCCAGAGAGAGGGACCCCTACATTCTAGAGACAGCATGCCCAGGGGCAAAAAACCTGTCTGTCCTCATTCCCAGGACATGCTCTCATTCTGGGCACAATTCTTCTATAATATTGTGAACCTCGATGTACCAATGCTGGCCTGTGAGACCAGCCATGAAGGTGAGACCTGAGGCAGACTCTTCACTCATCAAGACTCCTTGGCCTCAGATGTGACGGAGAGCACTCTAAACTACCCTACTTAAATGTCAACAAGGATAGGGTGCATGTCTAGAACCTTGGTGGTCCTGGGCATGGAGCTTGGGGTTGGAGACCATGGCTGCCTAGCTTGGTGGTCACGTCTACTCTTCCTCTGTGTGCAGGTGGAAAGCCATGCCTTACTGTCGACCTTGCAGCTATTGTACACCGTGGGGTACTCCCTCTCCATTGTCTCCCTCCTCCTGGCTCTCACCCTCCTCCTGTGTCTTCGGTGAGTGGAACTTCTGCTGGCATGTGCTCACGCATATACCCTGGAATTCGCTCATTGGCTACCTCTAGAAGGCAGCAGAGAATTGGGCTGAATGATGTCATGGCTTATAAGAGCTAGAAGAGATCTGAGAGAGCCCCAGTTATTCATTCCATTTGCAGTGAAGGAAAAACAGATATTGGATGTCCAAGGAGAGGCACTGACTCACCCCAGGTCACAAAGCACAGTGAGAGTTGGAATCTGGGACTCCTAATTCTGCTTTTGCCCCTTTTGGATTAGGTAACTTCCTGTGTGTCAGGCCCTGCTCTAAATTCCTAATCACAACCATTACTACCACAACCCATTCTCACTACAACTCTACCGAAGCGTTATTTTTACAGAAGGGATTAAGAAACTTTCCCAAAGCAAATGAGTAAGTGGTAGAGCTGGGATTTCAATCCAGGGTCTTCTAGCTCCAATTAGCCATCGATTATTTGAGTACTTCCTCAGAGCCAGGTACTGTTCTAAGCATGTAACAGACATTAAGTAATTTAAGTATCATCCTAATTAGAATCAAGATCAATTCTAACCTTAGAATATTAGCATTATTATTACTCTCATTTTCTAAGCGAGTGAACCGAAATATAGAAAGATCAAGTAACTTGCCCAAGATCACACAGCTGGTGAGCGATAGAGCCAGAATCACAAACAGGCAGTCCAGAGCTTGTACACTTTCACTCCTTAACACACTTTTTAAGAATCCACAGCCTGAGTGCATTTTATTAAACCACATTTTTAGAAATTGCCCAAGTGAGATATTTATAGACCAACTAGGGAGTTCTCCAAAGCTGTCCCTCGGTCCAGCTCATTCAGGAACATAACTGAGTATATAATATGACAGAACGAGCATTCAGCATGGATGTAGGAGACCTGGAAGGGGACCATGGACACCTGGAGGCTAATTCCGGAGCAGCTCCCCACCTGGGCTCTGCTAGCTCCAGGTCTGGCCCTACTCGACTCTTCAATCCCACTGGGAGAGCAGTTCTTGAACAATGGGATAATTCCACAGCCTGTGCCCACTGCTATCTGTGCTGGTATCCACTTGCCTTCCCAAAGTCTCAGAACCAAGCCAAGAGAAAATAACTGCCTGACCCTGCAGGAAGTAAGGAGCAGAGCCTGGGTCAACCAAGTATCCATTTTGCCTCAGAAAGAGCAAGACTCAGTCCCTGCACTTGAGTGGTCCTCAGTTTAGTTAGGGAGAGTAATGAGCAGAGCCTGGGTCAACCAAGTATCCATTTTGCCTCAGAAAGAGCAAGACTCAGTCCCTGCACTTGAGTGGTCCTCAGTTTAGTTAGGGAGAGAGATGCATAAATCATAAAACACAAGGACCTGCTTCAAATCTTTATTCAAAATTTAAAAAGTAATAACACCTCTAAAGCAAGGCAGGACTTGAAATGTGCTACACAGGGGCCCAGGCAGGACTGTGAGAGCAGAGGGATGGAAGAGGGTCCTTTCAGCTACGGAGACTGAGGATGCAGAGTTTTACATCAGCCAGTACAAAAAAGATCCTACAAGAGGCTCCAAGTGGGTGAGGAAGAGGTAATGAGAGCTAACATTTTCTGGAAACTTATTATGTGCCTGGTACTGTGTGAACATTTTTCACCCACTAGTTGATTGAATCCTCCTGTAACCCTTTGGGGTAAAGGCTCTTTTTCTCACAGGCAGTAGAACCTCGGAGGGTCATATTTGGTCTTCAGAGTTTCTGGATCCAAATCTCAGCTCTACCATTTACTGCTTTGGAACTTTGAACAAATGACTTAACCTTTCTACTTCAAGTCCCCCATTTGTAAAATCAGGATAATAATAGTACCCACTCCTCCATGGTTGTAAGGAGTAAAAGATACCCATAAGTGTATCCACATGTAAATGATTTGGAACATAGCCTGGCATGTCGAACATGTTATGTAGATATTAGCTACTAATTTTCCCCATTTTACAGATAAAAAAATGAGGCACAGAGGAGTAAGATCACACTACCCAGCCATTCAGCCCTGGAGCCTACATTATGAACCTCTGCCCTCCAGTGATAGATACACAGGGGTTTCAGGCACATACTTATTGGTCCTAGCCATTCTTTCCTGAGGAAAGGCACTTGGTTTTCTCCTTGCACAGAAAACTCCACTGCACACGCAACTACATCCACATGAACTTGTTTGCTTCTTTCATCCTGAGAGCCCTGGTTGTGCTGGTGAAGGACGTCATCCTCCATAACTCTTACTCCAAGAGGCCCAACAATGAGAAAGAGTGGATGTCCTATGTGTCAGAGGTATGTCCCTCCTTACTATTGGCCTCCCATCCGGTAGATCAGTATGGGGAATCAGGGCAGGAAGGTGGGGCTGGGGAGGGGAAGAAGGAAATAATGAAATAGAGAAATAAAGAGGTGTTGAAGGCTTTGTGTTTAGAGATGCAAAATGTGATGGGGGTTTAAGTCAGAGATGCATCATCTGACTTAAAAACCACACACGCACACACCTCCTAAGAACAGGGCAGGTAAAGGAAATCAGCAGCCCAAGAGTTCATTGTGGAGCTGCTGGATGGCCTTTGGGTAGGAAATTCTTCATTTGTAAACAATAGAATTGAACTGGATCAACCTTTTTTATTAGTGGCATTTTTGAAGCAGCAAAGCTTTTCCACATTAAAACCTGCATCTGTTTAGATGTTTTTTTTCCTTTATCCTGTTAATGATGAGTGCAATAACCTGTTAAACTAACCTTGCGTTCCTGGAATAAATCCAACTAGGTTCTGCTGTATTATTCTCTCTTCTATATCTCTGGATTATTTGCTAATACTGCGTTTTGTTTAGAATTTCTTCATCTATATTCTTGAGTAATTTTCTTTTCTTTTAATGTCTTGGGTAAGCTTTTGGATAAAGTTTATGCTGACCTTTTAAAACAAATGAGACTTGTTTTCTCTTTCTCTATTTTCTGAAAGAATTTATTTGAGATGGGCATTATTTCTTCCTTAAATATTTGAAAATTACTCCAGCGAAGCCATTTGGGCCCAGAGTTTTCTTTATTGGAAGGCTTTTAATTTGGGATTAATTATGATTCTTACATTCAGATTTTCTATTTCTTCCGGTGTTACAAGATAACTTGAAGAAAAACTTGTGTTTTTCTAGGAATTTATCTTTTCATCTAATATTTCAAATTTATTAGCATAATATTGTTCATAGTCTCTTAAGATCTATTTAAGGTTTACTGCATCTATAATTGTATATTTTTTTTCATTGCTGATACTGAGTATTTGTACCTTCACTCTCTTTTTCCTGCCTTGATCATCTTTGCTGGAGTTTCTCAGTTTTATTGGATTTTTCAAAGAACAAACTTTTGGCATTGTTAATTCTTTTTATTTTATGTTCTCTATTTTGTTAACTTCTGCTTTCATCTTATTATTTTTTCCATGTACTTTCTTTGGGTTTAATTTGCTGTTCTTTTTCTGACATGATAGTTAAGATAATTGATTTTCAGCCTTTTTCTTTTTATATTAATACATTTAAAGTTATAAGTATCATTTTAAGTGTGGTATTAGCTGCACAGAACAAATTTTAATATGCAGCGTTTTCCTTTTGTTCAGTTCAGAAATAAGTTCTAATTTGATTTATGAGTTATTTAGAAGTTTATTTCGTTATTTCCAGTCATATGAAGATTTTTTTATTTATCGATTTCTAGTTTAATTGAACTGAGATCGGGGAACATAACTCTTTAGTGTTTCTTTTAGGGAGGTACTGATGATGAATTTTCTTTTTGTTTGTCTCAAAAAGCCCATAGTGTCAAAGAAGAGAATGGACTTTGAAATGTACATGAAACCCTCCTTCACATTTTGAAATTGTTGTTAACCTGTCTGAGATGGCAAGAGTTTGGGAGGGAGAAGGGAGTAAAGAGGGAGGGGCTGTGTGTAGGGAGGCCCTTCTCCGCCCTCTTGGGATTCAGATTCTAGGAGAACCTGGACTCATCTTTCAGTGCTCTGTCCTATGCAGATATCCGCCTCCTGCCGCTCCGCCCAGGTTCTTCTGCACTACTTCGTGGGTGCCAACTACTCATGGCTTCTGGTGGAAGGCCTTTACCTTTACACGTTGCTGGAGCCCACAGTGATTTCTGAAAGGTGGCTGTGGCCCAGATACCTGCTGGTGGGTTGGGGTGAGTGACCCAAACCCCTGGCCTCTTCTCCCTGGACTCTTCGGAATGGGAGAACCCAATAGAGCCTTTGGTCGAAGTTAGAGACCCAACTAGAGGGAGGATTCTGAGACAAATAATTTCTCAATGACAAGAGACTCTGAAGAGAGAAAAAGAGAGAGAGAGAGAGAGAGAGAGACAGACAGACAGACAGACAGACAGACAGACAGAGTATCGTAGGGACAGAGACAGAGACAGAGAGAGACCAGCTCTTTGGTCTCTTTCCATAAGGGCATTAATCCCATCATGATGGCCCCTTCCCCACTACCTCTTCCAAACTCACTTACCTCCAAAGTTCTCATCTCCAAATACTGTCAGGCTGGGGGTTAGGGCTTCAACATATTAATTTTGGGGGGGACACAAACCATAACACCAACCAAGTCTTCAAGATGAGGCCTGGAACCCCTATGTCCCAAGCTTTCAAAGAATTTGAGACTGTAGGATTCAGAAGAAATAAGCTTATCTTGCAATTTAGAAGATTTTGCTTAATGTCTTTGAATTTACTCTAAGCTATATTGGCAAGTCTGTTCTCCTCTCTACTTCCTGGTTTTCTGACAGTAAAACAATGGATGGGCTCGGTGCCACCCTAGGTCTCCAGTTCTCACAGTCTGCAATTCTATGACGTTTGGGCTTTTATAAGTTTTAAACAGCTGTGCTTGGCTCATCAGGCTGGGGTGGGCGGCAGGCAGATTTGGCCGACCAGCTCCTAACTACATTTCCCTGTTCCCTCCCCAGCCTTCCCACTGCTGTTTGTTGTGCCCTGGAGTATTGCCCGTGCACAGCTGGAGAACACAGGGTAGGTAATTCACCTGCTTTCTTACTTCCCTGAGCCAGTAATTCACAGATATGCCCAAATACAAGGATATATACCATATTCCTGAAGAGACTATATACCTCTTTCCATTTTGGCCATCTAGAATATACTTAGGAATGTAGATAAAATAATCAAGGTTTTTAAAAATAGTAATTAGTTTATTAATTTAGTTATTTATGCACATTAGCACAAAATTAGCACAAAAATTTCCTGCATATGTCTTCAGTGATCCTACATATGCAAGGATATAGGCACGAGAATGGTTATTGCATGATCATTCACAGCAGGAGGTAAGGGAAAGCAAAATGCAATGGGTGAAAGTGATTAAAAGGTACACGCTTCCAGTTATAAATAAATAAGTTTTGTGAATATAATGTACAGCATGGTGACTATAGATAATAATACTGTATCGTATATTTGAAAGTTGCTAAGAGACTGAGCCTTAAAAGTTCTCTTCATAAGAGAAACAAATTGTAGCTATATGTGGTGATGGATGTTAACTAAACTTATTGTGGTGATCACTTTGCAATATAGTTATATATTGAATCATTATGTTGTATACCTGAAACCAATATTATGTTATATATCAATTATATCTCATTTAAAAAGTAAAACAAACAAACAAACAAAAACAAATAAAAAAAACCTCTGAACATCCATCGATATAGGAATCAATGAACAAATTGTGACATACCTATATTGTGGAATATTATGAGGCTACTGAGGAAACTAGTTAGTTCTACAGCTTTTTTTCTCTATGGATTGAATCTCAACAGCATGTTGTTATGACTGTTGCTGAATAATATATATTATGTGATCACATTTTCTTCCTCCAAATAATCACCACCAAAAAGTCCCTTATATAATTAAGAAAATATATTTGTATAAACATGGAGAAAAGTATGTAAAAATATACACCAAGCTGTTAGTATTGAAGAGCACTTTAATGGTAAGAAAAGTCAACTGTACCATACTAATAGAAAGAGATTTGAGTCCTCTTTCTCCTCTCCTACTTCTTAGGAGAATGATAGGTGGAAGGTAAGTCTTGAGTATGAACATCCTTTTTCCAGATGGCATGATGTTTTTTATGTTCAGCCTCATCCTTATTTCGTCTTCTTTTACTGCCTACTCTTTGCTGCAGGTGCTGGGGAATCAATGGGAATATGAAAATCTGGTGGATCATCCGAGGACCCATGCTGCTTTGTGTGGCAGTAAGGACCATCCTGCCACTCTTTTTCCTCTCTGAGCTCAGCAGTTGTGGAGGACCCCACCTCCACCCCCTTGCTGCCCCCCTGCCATTCCCCACCAAATTCTTTGGCTCAGAAAGCCTAGGCCCGATCCTTTGAGAAGGAGACTCAGCTGTGAGTAGGATCTGCTGAATGAGAAAGATCAAGTTAGAAACTTCTTGTTCTGGTTCGGGACCTAAACTCAGGGTTATACTACCAGCCGCCTTCTCTTTAGGTCTTCAAGCTATGTCTAGAAACTTATAATCAGCTCAGTGATCCCGTATGGAATGGTCATGGTGGGTACAAGGCCCTGGGAATACAAGCACCTTCAGCTACGGACCAGCCCAGGGATAGCGAAGCTATTGGCTTGGAGTTTCATACCATTAGCAGAAGGAGGGGAGACTAACGAAGCTTCTTTTAAAAGAAGAAAACATGTAATCAACATTAACCCAAAATGTGATGGAGGTTAAAGTCAGGAGATGATGAGGCCCTGAGAAAGAAGGGCCCTTATTTTGAGTGGCCCAGAATCTCAAGCTCCTTTAGATGGCAGTGTGAGTGAATGAAATCTGCCCAGGAAGCCAGGGGAAGGGACAGAGTTAGCACACAGTTGGAAGGATAAGCAGGATCCTGGAGGGAAGCAGAAAGTCTTTCTGTCTAGGCATGGGGTCATCACCTCTGGATACCCATGAGCCAGGCACTGCCATCCGTGTTCTGCCTTCTCTCTTCTCCAAGGGGTTGCCAGGCATTTCATTTTTGCTATTTTATGTAAATAATATTGTGTTTGTGGTTTCATAAAAGAAAAAGCTTGTTTTTATAGAAGAGCATCAGTATTTATTCATGATAGTAAGCAATACTCTGCCAAGACCTGGGTGTGACCAGGAATGAAAAATGTTCATTGAAATGGCAGGAAAAATAAGAATGTAGAGATATGCTTTATCATTCTGAGGCCTGTGTCACACCTGGCCTGAGCCGTGGCATGCATGCTCCTGGTTATTGCCCCTCTCGTCATTCTACACACAGCTAAGAGCAAGGGCTCAAAGTGAAATCTGACCACATACATCCCAGTGTGGCATCCTGAGCCCCGCCTCACCCCCACCCCATCTCTCACTTCTCCACAATTCTCTCTTCTCCAGCCACACTGCTTAGCTGTGATCCCAGTACCCACCTCCTGGCTGGGCACGTCCATTACTGCTCGGTAACATTTATTGAGATACACCTACATTCCAGAACCATTCTGAGTGCTTTGTGTGTATAACTCATTTAATCTTCCCAGCAAACCTCTGAGGTAGGTGCCATTATATGTTTCTTTTATTGGTGAGGACGCTGAGGAGATGACAAGTTACTTGCCTAAAGTCACAGAGCCAGTAAGTGAGGGAACCAGATCTTAGCCCAAAGGATCTGACTGGATGACATTCACACTTGTAACTACAATGCCATGCTGCTGACTTTAAAATGTCTATCGCCTCCAGCCCATGTGCCTGGAGTACCAACTGCTCCAGGATCTCTCATGTACTAGTACCTTGCTTCAGATTCTCCTTGGTTTTGAACTCCCTTTCTCTGCTGCCTTATCCACCTGGCAGCTGTACCTGAACACTCACCTCACACAAGTAGAAGTGGTCACACACTCCTTCATGTCCTTCCTGGATCTCGTACAGACTTCTGCTACAGTGCCAGCAATGTTTTATTGCAAACATTTGTTTAAAATCTGTCTGCTGTGACTGCAAGCCCCGTGTTCTATTCATCCTGGCAGCCAGCCCAAGCATATGGCAGGTCCTCCGTAAACTTATTCAGTGAACACTTGTGACCCACACTTCTGGGCACTGGAAGATTCTCATTAACCAGGCAGAATGAAGCAGAATGGAGGCCATCAGGCTCTCTCTAGGATGGAGCTCAGACTCAGTCCAGCTGGACTCCTAAAGTTTCCCCTGCAATCTTTTAGAGGCTTCATCAATGATTCTCAATCTTGGTTTTTCTTGGAATTCCCTGGGTGTCTTTTGCTTGTGTCTTACCCCCAGAGATTTGTGTTTCATTGAACTCAGATGTAGTCTAAAGATTCTAATGTGCAGCCAGAGTTGAAAAACATTTTGCTACACTCTGCTTAAAGTGTGATCACCTGAGTGCTTGTTATAAATCCAGGTTCTCAGGCCCTATCCTGGACCTGCTGAATCAGAATCTGTATTATGACAAAATTCTGAGACTTCAGGTGTTCATTAAAGTCTGTGAAGCCCTTTGCCCACACACCAGTGGTTCTCAAAGCTGGCTGTGCATTAGAAACTTCACAGTGGCTTATACCCCAGAGAATTACATAAAAAATTCTAGAGGTGAGGCCTAGGCAGTTGCGGTTTTGAAAGCCCCCAAATGATTCAAATGGACTGCTAGGGCTCAAACCACTGCTCTAGAACTTGCTGCTTGGACATCCACGGCTGGCTGACCTGTGCGCTAGTTTCTCTTGGTGCTTCTTAGTTCTTGGAACCACATTCTGTCCTCCCAGGATAAGAGAATATGCTTTGTCTTCTCATCTTAGATAAAATGACCTTTGCATGCTGTTGCTTCTACAACTCCAGTCATGTCCAGCTACACAGAAATGGACACAGTCACCTTAGCTCACCCATTTCATCCATACCTCCTCCCCTTGCTTGCCCTGCCCAATGAATGACACCACCAACCATCTACCAGCCACGTAAGCCAGAAACCTGGGTGCCCTCCTAGCTTCTCTCCTCTTCTTCCCTGCAACATCCACTCGGATTTCAAGCCTTGTCAATTCTTCTTCTAAAGATCTCTCCAAGCTGTCTCCTTTTCCTTAATCCCACTCTTCTTCAGCCTCTTGGGGTTTCTTGTGCAGACTTCTGTAAAAGCCTTCTATCTGGTCTCCTTTCTTCATTCTTGCCCCTGGCAATGTACTGCAACCAGAGTGGTCTTCTTTGAGCAAAATTTAATTCTGTCTGTCTTCTACCTGCAACTTTTTAATGGCTCATTATTGCCTTCAGGCTTGTTCCGAACTCCTTAGTGTGGTAAGCGTTGTTATTTCCTGCCTAGCCTTCCCACCACAAGCACCCATGCTGTATTTATATGGAGAAACTCACAGTTTCCTACATCTATCCTGGTATTTCACTCCTCTCATACTTTTGCATATGCCGTCTCTCCGCCTGGAATGCCCATCTGATGGCCCCACATCTGCCTGGTGAACTCTCTTCCTCCTTGGAGACTGAGAGCTTTATGAATCTCTCTATTCCCCCAAATTAAGGAAAGTCAATAGGCATGCCTGGAAGGGACAGTTTTACAACCATCCTTGTGTCTACGAAGGTCTTACAGAGTACATTTCTGAACTATTGTTGTCCGTGTCTACAGTAGCTTGAACAAGAGGAAATAGTCTTGAATAGAAATGGGAAAAATTCTCATTGGTGACAAGAAAGAACATTTGACTATGAACTAGTAAAACATTGACATGGACCAAAGAGAAAGGCTTTGTGTTATCCATCTCTATTAATTTCTAAGAAGAGAATCTTGAAGAACAGGGTGCTGAACCTGATGCTTTCCCAACCCACCCAGCTCTAGGATTCTGTACCCTGGTTTCAGGGTTCCCAGGATAGTGGAATTTATGTGTTCTACCAGACATGAAAAAGGAAAGAAAGGCTCTATAGTGAAGTGGAAGGAGCCTGTCTAGGAGTCAGGAACCTGAGTTTCATGACTAACTTGCCGTTTGTACTTTAGCCAAGTGAGTTGACCTCTCTGGACTTCTCTTTCCTTACCTATAAAATCAGAGCTGGACTAGATCAGTTGTCCGTAATCAAGGGTGGTTCTTCCCCTGAAGATATTTGCCATGTCTGGACCATTTTTAATTGTCACAACTAGGGTGGGGATGCTAATGGCACCTAGTGGGTCGAGGTGAGGGATGCTGCTAAACATTCTACAGTGCACAGAACAGCCCCCACAACAAAGAATTATCCAGACCCAAATTTTAATAAAGCTGAGGTTGAGGAATCCTGGACTAGACAGTGCCTGCACGTTGGAAGAACATGGAAGGTTTAAAAAAATACCTAGCCTGGACTCCACCTCAGATTGATGGAATCAGAACTTTTGCCATGTTGGGCTTCCTTAGCACTGGAATTGCATTCATTTGCTCTCTTATACCTTTATTTAACATTTATTCAGCACCTTCTTTGTGCTTAGCTTGATTCCTCTAAGGGAAAAAAGATGTATGTTTATATAGTTTCTGCCCTCAGGAAATTCAGAGCCTAATAGTTTTCATTTGGAGGCTCATCAGACCATGATTGAGCCAATATCTGCCTTCATGTTTGGTCATATGACCACACATTGCAGGTTTGCACTGACCTGAGTAGACATAACCTGAACTCCAAAATAAAATTCCTTGAACTACAACATTAAAGGAACATAGGTCCCTAAATGACTACATGGAGCAGAGCTCCCCTAACTCCACTAGATTATGAAATAAGCAAAAACAAACAAACAAAACCAACAAATTTCCCACTTTTATTGTGTTAAGAAAAGAAAAGAATTTCCTGACCCTACATATCTTCTATTTAAACTGAAGTACTAAAAAGTAATATAATAATGAAGATCAAGATGATAGCATTTGGCACTTCAGGGCACTTCACAATCTTTCATCTTGGCCAAATTTGAGGCTGGTACCTATTTTCTGGAGATAGAACAGAGGCTTCTGGGAAAAGCCAACTGCACATGGTGAACAGAGCAGTTCTAAGAAATGTCTCCCATCCCAGACTTAGCCTCTCTGGTGAGCATGCCCAGTTATCATAGCTGGGCTTCTCTCACCAGTTCCCAGACTGGGTCTGAATTTGCTAATTGACCTCTGGGTTGATGTGAATGTACATTATGCTGGATTTCCAGAAATATCAGCCAACTTCATCTGCTACTCTCTTGGTTCTCTCTGTTTCAGAAATGAGCATAATGTGACAACCTGAAAAATCCAAATGTTCTTTGGGTCTTTCACCAGACACAGAAATTGCATAACTCTCAACTCCTTCAGGACATAAGACTCCACTACTTAAATTAACCTGCTACCCTTGAGTATACTTTTAGTATAGAAGCATCCTGGACGACGGTATAGTCTTATATCCTAGTCTCTCCTCCTCCCAGTAGAAAACCCATAAAGCCTTGATTAGCCTAACCCTTTCAGGACAGCCTTACAAAATGAGTAAGCTGTGCAAGATTGTTCAATTCATATTCTGATTTCTAGAGTTAGCAGATTGAATACCCCATTGGGTGGTGTTTTTGAGATAGTCAATTGAATGAACCATCTATTGACTTTGTGAAGTCATAAAGTCAAATGCCTTCATTCATTCTTACTGAATCTTCTCTGACAGCTAGAGGACTTGGCAAAGTTGCAGAATTAGTAAAATTAGTTTTCAATGACCTCATCCCTCTCTAGGTTTCTTCTTCACCAGGAGCTCAGGGCCTTTCTGCGGCTCGGGTTTCCCAAGACATATCCTCACTCCGTACTCCCCTCCTCTGAAAGGCTCAGTGGGATTTTCTTCATATCTCAGATTTTTCCACATCATTAAAACTTACCTTTGCTGCATCCCATATTCTGCTTTTCATGGTGAATGTAAGTAAAATCATAGGAATTTACTGAAACTTTCATTTTTTAAAAAAGTGAATGAACAAATGAATGAGAGACAAAGAAATGGCTCTTTTCCTTCTCTCCTAGTTACTCCTTACCTGTGATAGGTGCATTCCAAAGGGGCTCTTAGGAATGACATGTTTTACCCAAAGGAGTAGCTCTAAAGGTAGGCATTTTAGTCCACACAGCAAGTCAGAGGACGGGCTTAGGGGTAGGTAATTGAGTTCAGGGGTAGATGAACCCCTGTCAAACTGGCCATGACCTCTGCCAACCTGCAAGCCCAGATCTGAGTACAAGTTCTAGATTGCCAAAGCAGTGTCACCAAAACTGTATGTAACATTTTGATAACACATTCTGTACCGTCTAGGACATAAAGGAAGCTTTATTATGTTTAAGATCCTACGCACCCCTAATTTGGTCACAGAATCCAAGAGGAGTTTGTTCACTGGGTGCTAAAAAAATTTCCTCATTCAGACTTTTTACTGCTTGTGCACAAATGATGAATAGTACCATCCAAATGTGATTCCCGACTTGTCTTCTGGGAAGCCTAGATGAACAGGGCTCCGTGTTTCATTTCATGGCAGCGAAGAAGTACTTCCTCTTTATGGCCCATTGGTTGATGCCCTTTTTCTACTGACTAGTCTCTGGAAGACAGAAAGAACAACAAATCAATATGCTCTTCATTAGAATCCGTCATTTCTGAGGAGACAGTCCTGATTGAAATTAATTTGTTGAAATACGTCCCTTTCCTCTGTGGAGCTTATTTTGTAAGAAAAATACCCAAGTTCAACAAATCACTAAGCCAAGGACAAAATGTTTTCTCTTTGTCATGAAAAACAGATATCCCATTAAAAGGGATAAATTACTTGGTTACACTTAGTTTGTATTTAAGTGTTCTGTTACTAAATATTCTTTGTCTGGGAATCTCCATCATTCTTGTTAGCTTGTGGATTGGATAAATAGCCTCTTGCCTGAAACCCTAGGCTTTTAGCTTTGAGCACTGATTTTCCTAAAGCCAGTATGGCAAGTCAAAACAGGTATATGTGGGTTCTGCAGCTTATGTTTCAATATGTAGTTAAAGGTTTTTGTTTCTGGAGGAACATTAGTACTGTGTTGGCTCAATATCTGCAGAGAATTTATTCCATTGTCACCCAATTACCATTTTATCAGCAATTTCTCCATTGCATAGAGGCATGCCTAAGTCTTTTCAATTTTAAAAACAACTGCAAGCAAAACCCTTTTCAGCCCTGCAAATAAAAGTGGGGAGACCTTATCTCTATTCTGCATCCTTTGTCGACTACTGTACCATCATTCTGCTTCATTTCTCAGCCAAGCCTCTTAAACGTCATGTACACTGGCTGTTTCCCATCTTCACATTTCATTCATGAAACAAAGCGTTGCAATATGGTTTATGCTCCCTCCTGTGAACTGCAGCTTCTCTTGGTGAGCTCCTTGTTGCTAAAAGCTGTCTTGTTTTGCTTAAGCTTCATGTAGCATTTAAACCTTCTTAAAATTCTTCCTGTTGTGAGCTACCACAATACCATTTCCTTGTGATTCGCTCCAATTGCCCTACCTACTCTTTCTCAATTTCCTTTGCCGTCTCCACTTCCTCCACTCTCCCCCTTTGTTATAAGGTGGCCCTCTTAAACCTCTTTTTCTCGCTATTTACATAGAGACCATCGACAATCTCGCCTACTCTAATGGCCCCATGCTCTGTCTGGGACCTCTCTGCTCATGTCCAGAAATAGATATCTCTGAATAAAAATACCTTGGGACATCTTTTGTGTCCAAAATTACTGGACTCCTCCCCCTCCTCCCTCCAATGCTCTTCCTCTTCCATTGGTCACTACCACACATTTGAGGTCTACCGAGAACCTTTGGGGTCATCTTTGACCCCCACATCCAACAAATAATAAAGGTCATTTGACTCATACTTCTTAATAATTTGAATCCTTCTCCATCACTGATGTACCAGGGCTGTTGCTTTACTTCACTTCTCCATCATCCTCCCTCAGGAACTCTGAAACTGCCTCCTAACTGGTCTCCCCTCCTCCAGTCTTCCTATCATCCAAACCATTCTCCACAATTCTACTAAAATGACCTTTCTGAAATGCAGAAACGCACATCTGACCAGGTCACTTGTCTGCTTAAAATTCATCACTGGCTTTCCATTGTTTTCAGAAGAAAACCCAAGCTCCTTAGTGTGACCATGAAAGGCTCTGCAGGAAGTAGCCCTTCCTCTTTCTCTAGTATCACTTCTCACAAACCTTGTTCTCATTCTCCAAGTCCTACCCACACTCGACCACTCCCTCTTCTACCTTTCCAGGAGACTCATGAAGTTGCTGTCAAGATATTGGCCAGGGCTGCAACCATCTAAAGGCTTGACTGGGGCTGGAAGATTAGCCTCCAAGGTCACTCATACCCATGGCTGTCAAGTGGGTCTGGTTGTGGGTAGGAGGACTCAGTTCTCCCATGTGTCTCCCTATAGGCTGCTTGAGTGTCCTCACAATGTGGTGGTTGGCTTTCTTCAGAGTGAGCAATGAGAGATGGGGGGAGGAGGGGGGGAGTGAGAAAGAGAGAGAGAGAGAGAGAGAGGGAACCAGATGGAAGCCATCTGTTTGAAGACCTAACCTTAGAAGTCACATAGCATCACTGCTACCATATTTTTTTTTCATTAGATACAAACAACTAAGTCTAGCTCACATTCTAGAAGGAAGGAGAAATTAACCTCTGGTTTTTGAAGAGGGAGATGTCAAAGAATTTGCAGACGTATCTTTAAATTTCTGCCAAGGCTGACAACGAAGTGTTGAATTTCCCCAATCCGTGACCATTGCGGAAAGCAGTCTAGAGAGTGGAGGACGTGTGCTTTCCAGTGAATTCTGTGGCAGCAGCAAGACCTCAAGTTAGACACTGATAGATTGGAGCTCTCTACGGAAGGCAGGCAATGTGGCATTCTGTTAAACTGAACAGAGGGTTGTAAACAGATACATCTGGATTTAATTACCACCAGCTCAGTCACTTACTACCTGTGCAAACTTGGGGATTGTACTTGCTTCCTTTGTGCCTCTGTTTTCTCTTTGTGTCATGGTATAAAAATAGTGTGGCTTCTTCAGAGGGTTGTTGTGAGGATTAAATAAGATAATGTATGGAAAGTTAGCCCAATGTCTGGTAAGTATCCAATAAATGTTAGTTAATAATAATAATGTAAATGTCTATCTGCCTTTCTCAGATGACTGTAGTGGTGGGCATCCCTGAAGCAGACGAATAAACTAAATGACTTTCAGGAACCTTCCCAGGCTTTCAGTTGAAATGACCTTTGGAAGAGTGGGGATCACCACAAATACTTACTACCTGACCAGTTATCTGCCAAACTGCCCCTGATTTACATGAACAAGGATCTAATGGCAAGGCCCAGGGTGACTTCGATATTCATAGCTATATGGAGTCCATCACTTACCCATATCTGCTTTTTTTTCCCCCCAAGGTCAATTTCTTCATCTTCCTGAAAATTCTCAAACTTCTCATTTCTAAGCTCAAAGCCCATCAAATGTGCTTCAGAGATTACAAATACAGGTGAGTGGCCTGAGGTTGGCACCCAGTAATTCAAGATTGTTGTGATCTCTTCTGGCTGTTCTAGCTAATGTCCTAGGAGAGGGAAAATGAGTTGCATCCCTATGTTTATCTCCTAAGACAAGGGTATCAGGGAGAGTCCTTCTGAAAAAGGATCGCATAGGGCTTTTGCCAATGGTGAGGACCTTCTGGCCCCATGAAAATGAAGTAAATGGTGTGCAGTCAAGGACACACGTTCCCCCAGCAGGAAACTGGTAAAGTGCTCCTAAAAATAGGTGGTTTACAGGGAAAGAAGAATATGATATGGAGGAAAGTTAGGTAGTTGCCTTCCTTCTGGAGGGATTTGAGGTAACAGAATAAAAAACATATTCATAACTCAAAAGAGAATATTTGGATATTTTTGAGACCTTGAGAAATAAGACCACAAACTTTTGGAGTACAAAGAAGTACATTCTTCACAAAGCTACTCTTTCTTTATGACATGCCTTTGCTGAATCCCATCTTCTGCCTTTCAAAGTGATAGTAGTCTCAGTTTACAGTAAGTCAGATCATAGGTTTTTATGGAGATCTGCATTGCTGTAAATACAAATGAATGAGTGAAAATGAATGAATGAATGAATGAATGATGAATAAAGGTATCCCTCCTTCTTTTTCCAGTTACTCTTTATTACTTATGGGATGTGTTCA